ATGTAATCGTCGAGAGTAGGCCTAAGATACTTGTTTTTGGGCTGTCCTGATGACTCGTCACACGGTGCACTATCGATTGGCACAGGCAACAACCGTGATGAAATCGCACAGGTCGCTGGCCGGGATTATTGGTCTGTCCTACTATTCAGGCAAGTCAGAAGGCGACTGGGCGTGTAAGCTTCAAGGACGCAATCTTATTGGTCCGATTGTACCTGCTCTGCTTGCCTGAAATGCCATGTACTATGTACTTTGAGGGACTTCTACTTCACCGCCCTTGGCAGAGTGGCACGAACTGCAGAGCTCAGAGCGTTCAATTTGAGGTGAGGTCAGGCAGCGAGGATTTTCATTGAGGAGGAAAAGATGCGATCGCTGGGAAAAGACCATTATTTGCTCCACTTTTCCAATTCTGTCGCAGATTCTTCATTAGCGACATAAGCATAAACTCTAGCAGGATCGAGCCATTCATGCATAGAGAATGGTGGTATATATAGGAAACGGTCATTATGCTACTGCACATTTATGAAAATTAAACACAACGTTATCGAAGACAATTTACCGATTGCGTGCGCAGGACGTTGCCTGGTGAACTTTCATCACACGTGGTGCAATTGGACGTGATGATTGTTCTGGTTCTATCTGGTTCTCCGATGTTGGCGTTAGACGATGCATCTGCCTGTGTGTTCCCCAATTGGCGACTACCATCGTCCAAATTGAGCCTCATCACCGAATATGGATTTGGCAGGTCGTTGTGTTGGTTAATGAAGTGAGGTCCCGTGAACCATGACTCACGCAATTCGCGGCTCCCACGATTATCACCTCTCGCGAATGTTTTGGCCCCATCAAATTTCAATGCGGGGCTGGGTCTCGTGGAAGAAGCCGCGACTTGGGAATTGTCATCACCTCTCCGCACTGCAGACGCGTGTTCGGTGGTTCGCGTCTTGAAAAACCTTCCAGTTTCTGTGACGTAGTTGCTTTGCCCCACTCAACTGCATCAGATATTATAGACGATCTCAGATGTTTTTTTTGCCATGGAAGTGGATCTTGCAGTGTCATTATCTAACGCCTTCTGGTTCCCTGCGCCCTGTGTGCGACTCCAATTCCAAGTGGTGCGAAGGGGCGGCCGACGGCCTTCGAGTGATTTTTTAGCGTACGGGATCGCTCATCAAATGTAAGGAAAAGTACGATTTCGTTGCCCGTCTCGTTTGCGCATGCAAAGATTGAAAAAATTTCGCGGGCAGCTATTTTATCTGAAAACCCTTCGTAGATATTGTATTTCGGTGAATTTGTCTTAGGTTTCACTGCAGTGCATCTCCACACGCCAATAAAGCATCTTTACGCAACTGCGTTTTGGCTGATTGAGTGGTTGCTGCAGTCATTATTACGTCCAATTCCACCACCGGTCTCGGCCCACATGCTGGTCAGCAACTAATTAGTGCACAACCAGGGAATTAATCTCCATAGGTAAATATTTAATTGCCACAATTGTGCAGTATCACACTTACAGTATCTTATAGATACTGCAGATTCCTGGGCAGTAATTACCCATTTCTGCTACTGTTTACGCTTGGATGTCTGATGAAGAATCGGCAACGAACTTCAAATCGTCAGGCGAAAAAATATTCTACCCCTCGAGCCAATTTTTTTTCTTTATTCTTTTCCTGGGACTGGTATGTTCGCTTGTCTTGACAGGAGTTCAATTATTAAGGAAACTGGATTGAGCACATTTGAGAACACTTGCGCTTGCGGGATTTGTCCTGAGTGCAAGAACGGAATGAAAGATCATATACAAACAAATAATAGCCAATAGAAGAGAATATGCCAGTGTGCCTGGTGCGGACTAGCCCACCATTATTTTTGATTACAATTCTCGACGAAATCTGAAAGGTTAGAAAAATAAAACTTTTTTCCAGTGATCGCATCTTTTTTTTTCTTCTAAATATAGGATAATTGAGCGAATTTATAATATTCCTTGGAAAGTCTTTAACCCGCTTGTACCAAACACTGGGTGGCCTCGGTGGGAATTAAACGCATGATAGTAAGAACAGGGCTTGGATACAACCAATGCGTTTAACTGCTGGGCTATGAGATGCCAATATCTCTCCAGTTGTGTGCGAAGTCACGAAATGTGCAGTGCAACTGATTTGGCTCAACCAAAACTTCCATTCCAGACAGATAGCTTTGGCTTCGTGATGTACAATAATGTTTAAAGGCTCAAATGACAAGTTTCGAGAATAAGACAACTTGATCGCTTGGATAATACTTGTTTATATCTGACGTTTCGACATCCGTTGCGGATTTATCATCAGAGACGTTAGAATAAAATGGTAGCAGAAATGGCTTAAACATGCACAGGAGTTTGCAGGATACAGTCATAACTGCAAGCATACAGCGACAATGAACGTTAATTGCCTTCTTGCGCGCGGATAGTTTGTTGGACGTCACGCGGGCTCTGACCTGTTGAACTGTCATCACGGGCGGCGGACTCGGGCGTGATGATTGCCCGGTCGTCTGACCCACCGGTGTTGGCTTTTGTTTTTGTTAACTCATTAATGAAAAACTCGACTGTCGTAGTAAGATTCGAAACCACGAGAGCGAGAGCGAAAGTTGAGTCAATCAACGATCCAGCCACCTGATCAGTGAGGCCAGAGAACAGTTAATTCTTCAAACAGATTGTGCACTCTGCTGAATGCATGCGATGGATATCAGGCTTCAGTTACGTCTGCGCATTTAGGGTTCACATTTCACAGTGATAACATGTGTGTAAATCGCCCTTTGCGAAGTAACTTTGCAGAGTCTCCACACAGAAAATAATTAAATGTTCGGCCTAAAGGCGAGATCACCTGATTTTATGGAAGACGACGGGCGGAGTATGTCAGGGAACAAATAAGATCGCAACATTTCTGTAATATTAAAAAGTTAGGAGGACAAGTTAGACCGTGTACACAAACCTTGGGACAAGACACTGAAAGGGGCTTTTACATCATCGCTAACGCCCCGCCCGACCAACGGCGAACACGCGTATTTAGTAGGAGTGTGCCCTAACCTCGGGCTAGGTCACTGAAGTACATTTTCTAGTGGAACCACCAATACCAACTAGAAAAAAGGTTAGTATATTAAAAAACTGGGAAGATTGTGGAAATCACCCTACTTAAAAAATTGTAAGCTATTCCAATGGTTAATTCAAAAGGCTTACTTCGCTTACTATACTGACTGAAGCGGTTACGCTATATGATGACCTTCGGAGGACCACTCTGCAGTTCAAATCCCTGCTGAACCAACGGGTGACGTGTAGAAAACTGGAAAATTATAGGCAATTAAACCTATTTAAAACATTTAAATAGGTGGTTATGATACATAAGGGCCTTTTGAACACCCCACAAGGAAACCTCACCGATTTTTCAGCTAACAGTTAATTACTTTTAACGCTTTGGTCCAGTTGTTAAACGGTTACTGCCTCAAAAATGAAGCATGTGCATTTGACCCACTTGTGAAAACATCAGCCGTCTCGGTGTGATACAGACTCACATCAGCGAGAAAAAGACGCTCTAATTAAGTGAGTTATAGAGGCCCCGCCGGCAGGCGTGAGTTTAACTAATCTCGCCCTACCGCGACGTATGACATCTGATACATAAGGCCGACTGCCGAAAAAGAGTTTTGTAAGAAATCGATCTAGAATCCACCAGATGCCATTTTCAATAGAGTGTGCCATACGTCCTGTTCACGGTTGCTAGAATAGCCACCTCGGTGCCCTGCATGCGGCATTTGCGTTGTTGCAGTCAAGGATATTTTTGGTTGCCAATGAAACCAAGAATACGAGTTCCAGGAGGCAGTTCAGAAGAAGAAGTGATCACTGGCAAAATAACTATGCTAACCTGTCGTTTCGCTTTTTCACTCGTATCCATCATCAGGACACTAATGGCAAAATAACTTACAGCATTTACGATGCGTGGTTTCCATGAGGCAACCTGCCTACATCTACGTTGTTATAGTCGATGATCTCTTGTTGCGATAAATCAGAAGAGGAAGGTCTGATCACTGGAAAACCAAATATATTGACCTACCTTTTTTGGTTTTTCACTCGAAGGCATCATCAGATGCCGTCGTAGAAAAGGACACTGGAGACAAAATAATCTGCAGTGGTAACGGCAAGACGTTTTGGCGCAACCACATGCCTAATGCAATAAGCAGCTTCCGTGATCACTGCTTTGCGTCATAACTTATGTGGTGATTGTTCGTTAGTCGTGATTTCATCGCCCAGCATAGTGGCCAACCGATTATTTTTAAGTTAGTCTACGTTCAGCTAAGTGTTACTGTCACTCGGATTGGAAACGTAGTTTCTAATTTAAAACTTGGTATCTCAACCTTTTAGATCCGAATGTCTTATAAGTGACAATTTAATCTTAATACAAAATTAAAAGAACGCAATCTTATTCCATTTTGAACTGACAAAAAAGCCTCTGATTCAATCCGCTAATCCAACTTCATACATGCATTCAGGGCGCCTTGCATTGGTAGGCTAATTAAAATTGGATGCCAGAAAGCTGTCAGCAATATGTTTAACTCTACGAGACAAAAGGAATGTGGACTTTAGAAGATAGCCAACAGTTCAATGTTATGAAAGAGTATGAAGACAACGTTTCAGTCTAATTGTTAACGGTAAGCACGTGACACGGACGACGGCACCCACTAAGCACGACAACGCAGCCAGTCAATTGTAGGCGCGTATTAACCAATTCGTATGCTGATTGGTCAACATTTTCGCAACCAACCCTTATTATTTCGGCTGCCATGTAAGTGTGTGCTCGGCCGTTTAAAATCCGGCAAATCATCCTCTCTGGGGCATAGACAGGACCCAAGATGAAGAGCAAGGCATTAGATACCTGCGCAGGGATAGTAGCAATTACAGGCAGCATTTTTATCATGTTTACCCTGGGACATTTTTACACTGTCGGTAAGCGCTTTTGCACTCAGCATCTTTATCTCCTTGTTTTCGCCTCAAGGAAATATGTCACCTTACTTAATGTCCTACTTGAACAAGTACGTGGAGCCGGTTAAAAACAGCGACGCTATTTGGCTTTCGGCGGCCTCGTTGGCGTGTCAAGGCGTCGCTATGCCCCTCTCCGGACTCATCCTCTTGAAAATTGGTTTTCGCCCGATTGTTATCCTCAGTTGTATACTAAACAGGTGCGTGGTGTAGTCTTCGTTTTTCACAATGACAGGCAATATGAAAACATCAGAAAAATATTAGCAGTAACTATATATAACTATATACTCCCGATCTAAATAACCGACAACACAGTGGACTCGTGGCTCAATGGTTAGGGCGTTCGCCTCTGACCGGAGAGACGCGGGCTTCAAACCTAGGTGCTGCAGCAATTTCACAGGCAACACTGGAGTAGGGTATCTCTATCTGACGACGGCAAATGAGCAAGATTGGCTATTCTAGAGTCTAACGTCTTTTCCGAATCTATAACATTCAAACACGATGCTAAATCCGTACGCAAATAATTAAGCTCGGTCTGGAACTTTTATTGAGCATACTGTTGGAATACAATCCGATATTAATTAAACAAACGAACATTTCCCATTAGGTAAAATTAAGTACTACTAGTAGTATAAGATAAGATAAGTGCCTTCACCGCACATCTAAAATGCACGCTTTTATCAAGCCGAGTTACTGATTTTAAAGGCAGTCTTGATGCTAGAGGGTCACAGATTCTCTATAATTACGGTTAATTCATCAGAACAGAATTTCAGTAAGACGCATGCCCTGACTTTTATCTGGTACCCTTTCTCGGATTACGTTTAACTGCATATGTAATATGCATTTGTTTTCTATTATTTTCCGTGCCCTTACCAGTTAAAAAGCATATTTTACGGAAGAAATCATAAAAAATAATAATTATCGTACTCTTTTGATAGTAACTCACGTCTGTAAATTTTATATGCAAAAGGGTTTCTCTTTTTGAGCTTTGAAAGAAACCTTTAAACATACAGTTTCTTTCGCATCGTAGGAAATCTACTTGAAATCTCACTTCATCAGTTCGTTTATTTATGCCCCTCATATCATTTAGTTAGAATTTAGGTAGCAATGTTGTAAGCGCTATTTGGTATATACTTACTTGTAATGATAAATCTGTATGACTATTAATATGAAAATCATACGACCTGTAGATCAAATATACTAAATACAATTGCAACGACAGATTGGCTTCAAGATTAATCGCGAACTAGACGTTCTTTAAGACCTAACCTGTTCTTTCCTTCGTGCAACAAATATGGAAATCTGATTTGTTACCAACATATACAAAATGCATATCTTCCCACACTTTTTACATAAAAAAACTATTTACGTAGCTAAGGCCACTAAAATATGGAGCAAACGTAGACTGTTTGGTAACAACCTAGTTTCGGGCTCACTACGCATGTTCTGCCTATCTGCCTACTCAGTTCGCAGTAGTAAGCATGTTTATGCAGGTATGTACGACAGGTACGACACAGTAAATCCACATTGCTCTACCCACACGGAAATCATTAGCATCCTCCGGTGATTTTTAGTTGCATAAGGTTAATGTAGCTTAACTTACTTTAGCTTATTCAAGTTTTACTGAAAATTTTTGTTTGATTTCGTATATTAGCTTAGTGTATTATTTTGTTTTATCAGTTTCAAATTGGGTTTATTTTAGTTTAATTTATATTTGTTTAGTTTAGGTAATTAAGTTCTAATTTATAATAGCTTTGTGTTGCTATGAAAAGAACGTTAATTAAATGGTCGCCAACATGCATTTCTGAAATACCATAAAAGCGTGCCACACAATTCTCCAAATTGAAACACCATCATAAAACGTCTTTCTTCATTGAGGTCCTATTTTAAAATGTCGATAAGCACTTCATGGCATTAGCCACTGATTGCAGGTTAGGGTAAACGTCTTGTCACCAATTGGGTGTGGTCGGGAAGTTGTACATACGTGGGTCAATCTGCCGTTGTCGCAGGTGCTGTCAAAGTCCGCATTATCGATAGAAGACTTTAAAGGAATCAGTTACCGAAAAATCTGCTTTAACTATACACCTACGGATTAGTTAGGCTGGCGGACGGCAGATATGAATTTATCTTCCATTGAGTATACAATTCGAAACAATTTATTGCTACCAAATTAGTGCAACAAAGAAGAGCTTTTCTTTCATGATGGGGCTTGGCAGATATGAATATTTCTGTTGACCCAATTTTAAAAAATATGTGCCTTTGATGGGATTCGAACCCACACAGACCAACGCTCTACAAATACTGGTAGATTCTGGCAGATTCTAGAGGATTGCTCAGGGAATACTGTCTGGGCAGGAATCTTACCACACGTTGTAGTAAACTGGACGGGTAAATCGATACAAATTTGATTTACATGCAAGGCTTTCGACGTGCCTTTTTAATTCAGTTGTTAGGGCGTTGTCTGTACTTATGCTGGTGTGTGTTCGAATTCTACCGAGGCCACCAGTGGGTCAATATGAGTTATACTTTCGTGTATGTTAATTTCAAAAAGCCATGTAAAAAAGTGCATACTAAATACGTATGCATTTTTAACGCAAAAAGACGTGCATTAAAGTGTTGGCATCTTCGCATATCTGCAACGTGTCTGCATTGTGCTGCAGCATAAAGCAACCTCAAAGCCCACTTAATTAGGGAAACGCATTTCAGACTGCCAATTACCAACTTTTCAGATTGATTATTGTGTGCAGTTTATAGCCGATGGTCGTTTAGTTGTGCCCACACTGTCGGCTGTCACTCAAGAAGAACCATTTTCTCCAGTCAGTTGCAGGTTATGCAGCATTAAACAAGCCATCCCTTCTGAAAAGAAGGCATATTTTGTTCTCTAAAGTATAATTACGTTAGCAGCCGGTATTAACGGAGACAGTCAAATAAAAGGAGCGACTGTTCGGCAGGTCAAGTAACGAAAAATAATACATATTTAAAATTATTATATTAGGTTGATTGTCTTTAAGCGTATATAACAGCAATAAGTCGGGAGGGCACATAGACAACAAAGTTGTAAATACTGGTTTGGTCTGTATAACAAAAAGGAAAAAACCCAACTTTTACCCTATTGAAATGTTATCAAGGGCGTATGGGAAATATGATAAACCCACCTAATAACTAAGTTTGCCTAGTAGTCACTCAGGTGGATTCTAGAGTATTGTGTAGTTAGCTTGCTGTTCTATAAGGGTAGATTCTATGCAAGCGGTAAGTTTGGCGGGTAATTTCGATCCAAGTGTGGTTACATTCACAGCGTCTGGTGGTCCTCCTAGCTCAATCGATTGAGCGTTGCCTGCGCAAAAGCCTTTCCTGCTTATGTGAGTTTGAATCCCATCGAGGCAGCGAGCTCTTAACAATTAGGTCACCAAAATACTACTGAAATGCGTTTTGTTGGCTTATCCCAGTTTTGCTTGATTAACGGAAGGATACTATCAATAGGATTAAGTTGCGGTATTTTTTTCGGAGGCCGAGGGCGAAAAGGCTTAAAAGATTCTTTTTACTCTTTAAATTAAACCATAACCGCATCTTATGTGATTGGGGAAACATGCGATTTATCCCGCAATTGTATAGTATCCATGCGGTGTCCATGAATGCCGTTATAACCGAAAGTGACCTTCACGATTTCGATGAACGCCTTGCTGTTTATTGTTTCTCTTGTCGACCGCCAGGTCAGACGCTCTCCGAATCTGATCACTATTCGGGCTATTCTCTCCACTTACCTTCATCTGCTTTTCATAGACATACAATCAGAGCATGCGCTTCTAGAAGGAATTTACTAAAAATCTTCTTGTTTTTATTAACATAAAGCAAAGAACGTTTTGTTTTGTCATATGAAATAGCAAGTTTTTTGATATCAAACCAGTAGAAATTTCGCCCAAAGCTCTGAATTAAACAGGCCGTTTTCTTCAGTAAGTTCCTTCTCTGGATCAAACTCACTTTAGAGATCAAAAAAACGTAAGACCAAACCTAAACTCAACTACTTACGATAATTTTATTCATGACCTTTAGATTAGCTAACCCATTACTGTGCGCGGGAAATTCTAGCGCTGTCGCAGGTGTCAAATACCATAAATAATTGAAGACTTAAAACCTTCAGTTACAGAACATTCTTTGTTTTAATTCACATATACACTTGCATGCCTGCGATTTAGTCAAGTTGGCAGACTGTGGACAATAAACTCTGTCACGTTAATTGCTACTAAATAATCCCAACGACAAATATCTCCACTTTCTTTTTCGATATGATCTATTGAGGTTTCAGAGAAGATCACGAGGAAGAATGCATATGAAATAAGCATACCCTTTTTGCAAACGAAAGAATGTGCATTAAGGTGCTGGCATCGACGCACATTTAAAATATCGTGGAGTGAAATGAATTTTAATCTCATTTTAATAAGTCTTCCTCATTGGAGGCGCAGTTCAGATCGTCGATTAGTATTCAATGAGATAGATATACGCGGTATTCTGAAAAAAAATATTTCAAACAATTTCAGACAAAAACATCCTCTATTCACTGTAAAATAAAATCAGGCACAAATGCATGCCCTGGTTAATACATCAGTTTTGCAATTTTCTCTTTGTGAGTTCCTTAAAAATGAGTTTTTTAATGGAATTTCGGCAGCTCTGCTAAATTCAGTCGATCCGATTATGGAAAAAAATCGTATTCTCGGTGTTAGTCGAGGGCTTCTATGCAACCATGTCTCTATCATTGATCTACGAAGCTCATCGTGCGCCTTAATTTTTATCATAGTAAGATCGATTTTACCCGCCCAACCTAAAGCTCATATGGAATCCACCAACACGGATACAGTAAGCTGACTGTTCCAGGCACAACATTCCTAAGCAATCATCTAGATCCCGCAAAAATAACTACAAGGCTCACTTGTTAGGGGATTTTTGAAATCCGTGTAGGTCAGTATATTCAATGTGTACAAGCGCAGAACGAGATGTAATATAAATATTTAAGGCCGAAGTCCATCAGCCACTGTGGGCGAACCACGTACTATATGCCAGTTTGTGAAATTAAAATGCAGAAAGAAATGCTGTGGAACACACTGATGAACCGAGCGCCTCTTAGTTTTATCATCCATCCATCCAATAAAATTTGGCGGCGAAACATAAGCGTGGGCCTTTAGATAACACCTGTAAATGAATACGCGAATCTCACTCTC